CCGAAGCAGACACCGAGTGGAAAAAAGTCAAGGGTGGTCAAGCTAAGATTTCGCATGAGGGTATGAAAAGCCTAACCAGGAGACTGGGTCACATAGGTCCCGTTAGGCTCCCTGGATGGGGACCTCGGGATGATCGTAACCGATGGTTAGAGACACTGTGTGATATGGCTGGATGTCTCAACCAGTGGCATCTTCTCAATCTCGTTGCAACCTTAGACCACTGAACTTCTCCATTTTCTTTTCGACTTCATTTTCAAGTTTCTTTTCTTCTCTTATTCTTCAGCCAAATGGGCAACCAAAAGACAGCAACCAAACCGGCACACGAATATGCGTGGTTAATGGTTGTACAAACTAAACTGAACTCTCACGAATTTAAGTGATAGCGGTGGTGGCCCGGTGATAACGTCACCGAATTATCACCCCGGGTATGTGTTCGAATCCCACCAACACCGTCTGACTTTCCTCATTATGTGTTGTGTGGCAGGCTTTTGATTGGCCGCTTCCCCTTCCTGAAAATTCTGTCATTATGTATTCAATGAAAGGAAGTAAAATAAAGAGATAAAGTGGTTGGCAACACTGTCGCTCGAGTCCGTTGTGAATCGTCTTTTTTATAAGATTAATATATGCATCCGTTACGGTAGACTCTCAACTCCGAGGTTTAAGCTCTACAAAGTAATCCATGGCAACCATGGAATCTGTTGACGGTAGTTTAGAGGCTTCCAGTAGCACTCTTTGTAGTCTATACACCTCGGTATACGTGTCTGAAATTAATAAGTTGAATGAATTTCACTTATCGACAACTTTATGTATCCTTATATCGTAAGAGGTGGTAAATCTTTAAGAACCATTTTCTCTATTTTGGCGAACACAATCAGTAATATCGGAAACATCCTTTCCCTTTGACTCATTTGAATAAAACAAGTAACACAATATGCGCAGAATTGATATTGGTCTAAATTTTGCATGCTCTCAATCAGCTGTCTACGCACCATAAACAAATCGAATTTTATAAGAAGAATACCATATATGGACATTAGCATAGTTACAGGGGTTCAGGCAGAAAGAACTGGGTTGTTGAATCATTACCAAAGACATTTGGGTGTGGGTGGAAGAGCAGGAGGGGAAGGTTAGCATAGAAAAGGCTACGTCAACTTTTACTTACGTTCAACTCTCTTTCTTCCACGGCTAATCGTTTTCCATGACGTAACTGTTTCTGTGCAAACACATCCCTACTCTTCTTCTTCAGTCACTCGCGTTCGAAATTACTGCTCGACAGTTTCATCGAAAGCCTGCCGAAAGATTTGCGCGTTATTATTATTGTTATTGTTAATATTTTTAGGGCGTTGGCACCAGGCTTGTTCTCAAGCCGGTGTTAAATATATATACACATATATATATATATATACCCGAAGGCCGCAGATGCCAACCTACAGGAATTACGGCAACTCTCAGGGAATTAACGGATGAGATGACGGCCATTCGAACCGCTTACGAACAGGGAGTTGTTAATAAGGGGAATTGTGAGCATAAATATCTAGAGTACCGGCAGAAAAGTTGCCCTGAAACAGTGCAAATTGTAGATCAGAGAACCCCTAATTTCGATCGAATCGTTGTTATCCAGACAAGTTCTCCTCCAAAACGGCTGATCGTTTTCCATTTCAGACCCATATGTAGAAGAGGGATCAGAAAAAGCCAGGTTTGTTTGCCACATGTGCTGCTGTTTATACGGTGGAACTGTAGTGCACTGAGTCCATAGAAGCCTCGAATAAAGCAGTGAAGGCAGTTGGCGACAACGAGCCGCAAGTCAACAGTGCGCTAAATCGAACTCTCTCTGTGTTGAGAATACGACGGACATGCAAACTTTTGTCAGAATGCAAAACGAAGCGATGAGAGAGTTAAGAATGCTGCTGAAACGGAAACGAAAGGTACTTCTGAAAGTGACGGAAGCGGAGTACAAGCATCATGTCTGAGGACTTTTTGGTGACCCTGGAGCAGCGAAGTTACTCTCAAGATGGTAAAGTTCATGTACAATTAGGATAAAGAAAACTCTAATGAGTATGTATCGGGAGATGAGTGCCGACAGGTGTGTATATCAAGATGAACTCGGTAGATGGCGCTGGAACCATAGCCGTACGTCAAAGAGTCATTAGTAATCAACCTACTGGTGGGGTCACCAAAAATCAATCACAAAGCCACAAGAAACTGTCAACTAAATACGGACCCGTTCGACCTCACAAAAGAAAGAACTCATTGCCCACTGCATGCAGTGTTCATTTTCGCCGGGAGGAGTACTGTTAGGTACTACTCACACTTGTGAGTAGGTACCTTAATTGGTGATTTATTTCAACTATCAAAAATGAACAAGATCACCTAGGAAAAATAGTCTCAAAGCATAACTATCGATTGCTACATTCATTACCCTTTGTGCGGTCAGGAACTGCGGTGGTATATTTCTAATGCGATTTACGTGTTAGGTATGCCAAATTTAGTGATATCCCATCAGTAATCCGCAATAAACAACTATCCTCAACCGGGCACCGCCTTGTGTAATTATAACAGCAGTTCTTCCTGCTTGAATCAATATAATTATGCCAAATTATTATGTCCAAATATGATATTCTTCTTATACAATTCAACCTGTTTAACGTGCGCAGACAGCTGATTAAGAGCGCGTGAAATTGATGGCCAATATCAATTCTGTTCACATAGTTTTACTTGCTTTATTCAAACAATCGGTAATCGCACTAATTACAAGTAACTGTGAATGAAATGTGAATTAAAAATATGGCTTAGCAGATTTAGATGGAACAGCAGACCTGACTGGATGTGAAGCTTTTGTTAAAGTCAACAGGTGGTTTATTGTGTGTGCGTGTCGCCTTTCGTTGCTGTCCTGTATTTGTTGTTTGTCCCCGAAGACCACATGTGTCAGCTAAACGAAACGGCACGTCCATTCATGATCAACAACGACCTATTGCCCCGCGGAGCGGAGCATTCCAAGGCGCAGTTTAGCCGACCATCGGCGTCAGCTTTTTCCATAGCTGTTTCACCACACGTCCCATGGTCTATCTAAACAAACCCACTTACTGAGGCGGAAATCCGTAGGGAAATCCAAGCCTTGGGACGTCACAAAGCGGCGGGATTCGATGGCCTCCACCCAGAAGAAGCCTGGGCTTGCACTCAACCTCTGTGATGATCAGCTAGAAGTAGTTGATAGCTTCAACTACCTTTAGGGATTGATCGCGGCTGCTGGTAGTGTTGGTGGGAGGGTATCATATCANGCCGACATGACATCCGATCTTTCCTTAAGGGAAGAGTGTATATCACCGCGGTTGGCAGTATTTTGTTTAACAGTTACGAGATCCGGCCTCTTTAAGCGGAGGATGCTAATCAACTCCCTGTATTAGACAAACGATGTCTTCGAAACATTACAAATGTCTGATGAGGACATAGGATGAACAATGAAGAGATTCATCGTCGTGTGTTAGGTGTGGATAGTCGCTGGAGACGCTAAGATACAGGGATCAGAATAGAAGTCAGTGGCAGGAATGCCATACCGTCTGGTTGTTGACATCCTGTGTCTTGTAAAAAGAAAACGATAAACTAACACACACAGAGAGAATATAAAAAAGTGTAAGGTCAAACACACAAAAGAATTTGTTCTTAGTCATTTTATGTACTGTTTTTGGTTTTACCTGTTCAACCCACTTTATACTTCGTTAGGTATCCCAAACCAGCCGTCCGTTGTTTCTGTTATTTTTTCGTTGTGGTGTTGACACCATACTTGTCCACACGCCGGTGATATATATACTCGTGCGTCCTGAGTTTACGGTTGACTGAATAAACTGCGAGGATTGTGTGTGAAGATGGCGTCTGAAGGGTAGTCAGTTCACATCAGTAACACTAATCCCACGTTACTACTCACATGTACAATCGAGTGCAATATAAGTTAAACTTTGGTTTGTTTTACACCATACCTTTCAGTTTTGCAAATTTACACAACCTGATGTCAAAAACGTTGCACGATGATATTGCAACCATAGAGGATCAATTATACAATCTCCGTTTCACAGATGAATTATCCGTAGTGTCGACACTGGTCAAATTACAGAACAATTTATCACGTGTTGTGGACGCGTCCGCGAAGAGCGAGCTTCAGTGTCGTCTGCTGCGATCAAATGTTCCGCAACTGATTTGTGCCACACTTAAGCAAGATTTTTCTACCGTTCCGGATGGATGGAATCAAGCACTGGTCATGTGCGGATTGTTGGCTTCCATTCTTCAAGTGAGTGTCGAACACGAACGTGTAAAAAATGCGTGCACTCCGGACGATCTGTTCACAGAATCTGTCAGTTGTATGCTGATTCTTCTCCGACGGTTGCAAAAACAATTGTTAAAGATGAAACGAATAACCTCGGAAGAGTCGAATGCCAGTACGGATCAAATGTATCATTTGATCGAACAAATTATCAATTACTTGTATGAAATCATGCATTTGACACCACAAGTGGCCTTGTTAATCGTGAACTCTCCGTGGTTCCTCCAACTGTTCATTGGGGACGATCCTCAGTTAACTGCGTTATTTGTCTCTCTCCTGGTCGTGTGTATACAGACACAGCCGGAAGTTCTTCCACGTATGGATTTTGCACAAAAAGTCAGTATCCTGGATGAACTTATTTATCATTTTGCAGTCCTCGACACTCAGAACAGTGTGGATCAAACACTAAAGTAAGTTCCAGTAACAGTGAGAACGAGCATTATCACAGAGAACCGGGTTGAATTCCACCGTTTCGCCTTATCTCATCAACTGTGTGCACGAAAATTCACCTATCACAATTCGATCAAGAAAATGATGAATTAGATGATAAAATTCGTTGTGTACGTGAAGCGTGAACTGAAAAGCCAGAAAGCACTGGACAGCTGTCTTAACCTGATTGGGTCTTATCAGCAATGCTGATAGGAATGGGGTCCGTGGCCCCGCAACAAGTTGGATTGTGCCACATCGGGTCTATTCAAAATGAGAGACGGTCTGGTCAGCTGACCGGTGACCGAGTGGGTAGTATGCTTGCGCTCTATTTGTGATGTTCCGCGTTTGATCCCCAGTTGGGTCGATGAATTCGCCCAATGCTGATGAGACCCAACCAAGTCGAAACAGGTGTCCAGTGATTTCTAGATTTCCCCGCTCACACCCCATTTACACGACGAATTCATCATCTAAACAGATCAAATCCTTCATTCCTTTCATATATCAGTGAGAAATCTTTGAAGACCGAAAACACTCGACTAGGCGAAATCGATGCGAAGGTCAAAGTTAACTAGTGCTGATACTGTTCAATCAGGTTGAACAGAGGAGAAAGGTGGGAAAACATGCTTATCGATCGGAACCACAGTGACAACCCTACCACGGTAGGATAAGGCTGGCCACAAAGTCCAGATGTTTGCAGAGGTCTCGTTTGTGACACCGAATGGCTGCGGCCTCAGCAAACCGTAACACAAACGCCCAGTTTTCTGTTGTCTTAACGATCAGTATACTTGCATTGGATCGGTGTAAATTTTGCAGTCCAGTAGATAGCGGACAATAGAGCTGAAAGGAACCTTTGCGGCAGTGAGCGTTAAATTTCCGGGGACGTATTCGGAGATCTTAGTTGCCAAACGCTTTTCAGTTCTTCCGATAAACTTGCTACCGCCAGTCTATTGATATAGGTAAATACACATGAGGAGGTAACTTGAGAGTTCACTTTGTCCAATTGGGATTCAGTGATCATTCGTCTGCTTTTATGGAGAATAATTAATTTCATAGGTCACAGGTCACATGACATTGATTGTTAAATTTGTTCTTGCAGTTACGAACATGAGATGAGAACAAAGAAAGCGCCATATCCATGGTGTCACAATGACGGTTTGAAAGGGTTTCATCCTCTACTTGATGCTTTATGTATTTGTTCAAATTGTTGTTTGGCAGATTTGAAGTTCGTATGTCGATTGGGAAAAGTTCATTAGCCTCGGTGGGATTCGAACCCACGCATGGACGCCTCCTACGCTTTGTACGCGAGTACTCTACCAGCTGAGCTACGAGGCCATACCTATAGCACAGATCTTTTCCATAAAATCTGCCAAACAACAATCTGTCTTAGATGCTCATTCGGTGTAGTCCGGTGAATTCTAAGGAAAACTTGTCGGGGCAGTCAGCTTACATGCTAACCGGTGGATGCCACATACCTCTGTAAGTTAGATGAGTAGCTCAGCTTTATGTATTTATTGTTGTGCACACTTGTAGTCTATCATGAATCCTGTTGTGTGCGGATCGGTCAGTAGACTGTTCCTTCGTAAAGGTGTCCGATGAGGATCAGTCGAAATGCGCGACAGGACGGAACGTTGAGTTTTGTCGTTTGGCTTCACACACACACACACACACACACACACACACACACACACACACACACACCAAATAGTCAAGGTTCATGCGGATGTTGATCCAAGGGATTAACTGAATGAATGCCAGTGGCGTTCTACGAAAATTTCCACAAGGTTGTTTACTTTGATGCGTTCTGAATAGTTCTTTTTATATCACGAAATATGCCCGTTGATTAGGAAAACACAAATTAGGCGAAAATATGTTTTCGGTGAATTTCTTTTCAAACCTTTACAATCACATTTATGTGAAGGAATTTCAATAGGGTAAACCAGGAAGGTGGATGAGTCATATGTTTCGTACTGAGCCCGGGAGAGCTCCGAATTGTATGCCGTTCGCTATGATACTTCATAGTAATGTGAACAAGCGAATTTCTTTTCTTTTGACCAGGGGAGTTTTACTGTTTGGATCCGTTTTTGTTGCGTGCACAGCTTAGGCCTCATGAGTCGGATGCTATTCGCATCTGCGGTTGCTAACGCCCGAAATTGTATTGTTCTCGAGGGGTGTGGTGAGATTCCATAAATCATTGTAAATGCCCTGCGCATTCAAACAAGTCTACCGCCTCTACTAGATGAGTCGCGATCGAGTTTGACAGAGCTCCACTTCTATCCGGTGTAAACCAGCGTGGATTGTGTTCATTGATCGGTTGAGATAACTGCATTATAGTCAGTTTTTTTGCGGTATACATCTTAAATTCAACTCTTCTGTTCCCGAATTTTTGGTTAATCCATCCGAAAATTCCGCTTGTTCAGCGGAAACAATTTTCCCCCAGTCGTTGATAGCCTTAGAATTCAAGTGCAGGAATGTGACTACGAAAATGTGTTCTGTAAGAAAGGAGGCTATTGGGATCAATCAAAATTGACAGAAGTATGTACCTGCGCATCCGCTTGTTAATTAATTAATTAATTGAGAGTTTATTCTGCTTTCGGAGTCATATAGCGGCTGGGGGAAACATGGGCGAGGAGATGCCTCAATGTGTAATTGAAGCAAGATTGGTGTTTGGTAACATGCGAGATATCTGGTTTCGGCATGATATATCGCTTTCCGTGTAAAGGCGTGTGTGTTACTGTGTTACTGTCCTAGGTGGGCAGTGCGTGGAAAAAATCTAATGGTGATCAAAATAAGACCTGGCATGAGGGTGTAAAAACCCTAACCAAAATCAATGATTGACTGGAGGAAATGAATTGAAAACACGATTGTTGTTGATACCATATTTGCTTATCCAATACTCATCTAGCAAGTCATTTGCGATGTTTCCAACTCTCCATATGCATGACTTTACGATGATAAACTGTAATAGGTTGGCACCAAGCTTGCTCGCAAGTCGGTGAAATAAACATATAACACAATAAGTAGTATGTAAGTGATTGAACAAAATTTCCCTGAAAGTACACGACCGGTTTCTTGGTTCTTGGGGCTCTTCAGATATGCGTATCCCGTAATCTTTTGTCTGTTCATGCAATAAATCAATTCCAATTGTCTCGTAATTCAAATTCACAAAACTGATAAGTGCACATTCTCTTTCCCCACCTCAATCCAAACGAACATCCAGTTGTCTGTTGGTGATTCTCGGCTGTGAAACGCAATTGCGCTCGCTAATTCTCAAACGATATCGAGGCATTCAACTACTAGTCGCTCGATGGATTGCCCAAACTTGTGACTCAAATTACAGTTCCGCGGACGTGGTCGATTCGCCAACAAAAAAGATGCTTCTTTCGTTAAAAAAGTTCCTCGGTGAATTTCACAGTACCACAGCACCGGAACAATCGGTACGACGGGGTCTGATCCAACTGAATACCGAACAGGCTGCCACGGTGATCCAATCGCATTGGAGAGGTTTCGCAGTGCGTAGAACACTGCGAAACATGAACCGTGCTCTATCCAGTTTCCAAGTAAGATTTGATTACCATAGAAGACCAAGTGGCAAACTCCGCAGCTTTTCCTGTGCTACATTAACTGGTCAATTATACAGTTCATACCCGAAATGATTAGGTGACCGGGAAACACGATAGTTGTGAATGTGAAGTGTGGTGAAGCGTAAGTTCACAGTAACAAATCTTGTTCACGTACTATTTTTCAATGCTGTTTGTTGAAACATTGTTCTTACGTAATTCATTTTCCTGATGGGTAACCATGGTGATTTGAGAGCACTAACCAGAGTGTGCTGGTTAAGACGAATCGTGATCACTTAAGTGACGACCAAAATATAACATCTGATCTTCTCTGTTCTCAAATCCCTGATTCTGTGAGTGGGTCGGATTGGGTAACTCGGACTGATCGGCTGATCAATTATCACCGCACAAGAGTAGTGATCACCCTCGATCCGGTTCTTATGGGTCCTATATATATATATAGTGAATCAAATGATAAATAATAACAAAGTGAAAACACTAAGAAATTTCCTTTCGAAATATCGCTTTAGACATTTACATAAGCAGTTTTAGCGGTCAATAGGTTAATACAAAGCCGAAGTTGGTTTGAATGAATGTGCTTGTCTCGTATGAGTAGGGGAGGATTTGATCGAATTTTATAGAAGGGACTAATGCAGAGATGAGCAAAGTGCAAGTCCCCACAACAAGCTCGCAACGATGGATTGTGCTATATCGTGTGAATGAAAAATGCGAAACGATCTGATCAGTTGCCCCAAGATGTTCGAGTGGGTAGCGTTCCGGGTTTGATCGCCACTTGGGTCGATCGATTCGCTAACACTGTTGATGAGATTGAACCAGGTCGAAACAGCTGTCCTAAATCACCTCATGGAATGAATACTGTATGTGAGATTTGAGGAAAAATTTTAAGAAATATTAGTCCAGAGGGGCACTTCATACATCAGAGGTACATTGGGATTAATCCTTCTAGAGGGAGGCAGTTCGGACAACACTTAAAATTTTACAACTGTTAACCATACACTTTCGCGGGCCACCTTTGGCTACCTATTTGAATAGAAGAGCAAAAAATAAGGTTGGAATGTTAAGAGCAAAGTCAAGGGGAAGACAGAGAATTCTTATAGACCGGGATTACAGGCGTGCTGAATAGACGCTGGAACGTCATTACTTGCGACACTCGTCGTATCAATCGGTGTCTCTAACCACCGATCACCATGATCTCGCGGTCTCAATCCAGGAAGCCTAACGCGACCTTATATCACGGAGTTTCCTAGTCAGGGTTTTCGCATCTTCTCACCAGGTTTTAGTTTGACCACCCTTGAACTTTTTCCATCAGCTGACTACCTCGACAAAGCTGTCGTTATCTATGGAGATCGACCATTTTCTCCAGTGAACGACTGTGATTACTTAAATCTCTACGCCAAATCTCAGCATTGTTTTTAGTAGTAGAAGAGGAATTGGAAAGGTTGTGCTATCTGGGCAGCTATATCTCACCTGGTGGACGCATCACGGACGAAGTGTCGGCTCGCATACAAAAGGCACGGTTTGCACTTGCCAACTTGAGAACTCTGTGGCACCGTCGCAACATCCGCCTGCCTGTAAAGGGTCGAGTGTATGCTGTAACAGTTCGGCCAGTGATGTCCTACGATGCAGAGACTTGGCCACTAAGGGAGCAGGATAAAAATAGATTGTCGGTGTTCGAACACCGCTGTCTACGTCGCATTGAACGAGTCTGACGGGGTAACCGGACTAGCAATGCTGAGGTTAGGCGTAGAGTTTTAGGTAGTCGCGGTCGTCTACTGGAGCAAGTAGTCGACCTCCATAGATGAGGCATGTGCTACGCAAGTCATCAGATAGGTTGCCACGACGAGCGATTTTGGCCGAGGCAGGTAGCGGTTGGAAAAAGATCAAGGGCGGTCAAACGAAGACCTGGCATGAGGGTATAAAACCCCTAATCAGGAGACTGGGTCACATAGGTCCTGTTAGGCCCCCTGGCTGGGGATCTCGAGATCATCGTCACCGACGATTAGCGACACTGAATGATATGGTTGGTTGTCGAAAACAGTGGCGTTCATGCACCTACTCATTATTCTTGTAACTTCAGTCGATATGAATTCTCTATCTTCCGTCATTTAATAGATAGGTCGGAACGATTTCCTCACATCTACCGGGTGATTCGTTTCGGTCACAGATAGAGCAACGGCACTCGCGCCTGCACTTGTAGGTCGTTGACTGCGTCAAGCTGCATGGTATCTCTCGTTCGATTGGCCAAGAGTCTGGTGGTGCGAACCAAGTAACTAACGGAACATGCATCAAACCAAACTGGAAGACACAAAAAGCGGTCTTCTCCATCGGTAGCCTGTCGTTCATTTGTAATGAGAGAAATGATTTGGAAAAGTAGACATTACGCAGATCCTTTGTGAAACAACTGTTTTCTACTACACTCTTCAGTCTTTGCTCAGGATTCTCGAGACGCGCGATATTAACCTAGACAGGTAGTGGGCGGAAAAAGGTCAGGGGTGGTCGAACTATGGTATGAAAACCCCAACCAGGAGACTGGGTGACATAGGTCCCTTTGGGTTCCTTGTATGGGGACCCCGAGGTCATGGTAACCGTTGGTTAGAGCCACTGAGTGATATGGCTGAGTGGCGCTCGCGCATCTCACTTCTCATTATTCATACAACTCCAATCTAGAGGACTTCTCTATCTTCCGCTAGCATGTGCTCTCAACATACCAATCTTCATTTTGCTCTTTTATCCGAATTGGCGGTCAAAAGATAGCAACCAAAGCCGGCGCATGAAAATGCACTGTTCTCGCAAGGCAATGAAATGAAAAACCATTCTTCTTCATTGTTTAGTGTTTCAATTGGGTCACGTAGATTTGCATGCAAAGATCGATAAGTATCTATTTTCAGTAACGTTGGCATTTCATCGTCCCGTGTACCCGTGGAATTATTATTATCATTATTGTTATAACAGTCTTACTCGACTGGTAAAACATCTAATTAGCTCCGTCTATACTCAGCCGGAGTAAGACTATGATATGATGACATACTGTCCAGTCCACACACTCTTTCTCTATACCATTCGTCTTAGAGATAGATACATTTTCGCGGCGTGATCAGTAACTATCAAGAAATGTCATTCTTTGAGCCGATTTCATCTCGAGCGTGCAAAATCAGGATAATGAACCCGAATGAAACTATCCATATCGTATTGAGGTGTTTGGTGGTTTGTCACTAACACAAATACTATCATCAAAGTAATATCTGCATAGGGCATATCGATACGGATGAACAATATCTCAGCCAATCGTTTTGCCATGATTATATAAAAGCCAACGGGGGGACTAATTGTGAGCCCATAGCTGTTCCATCGTTTTGACAATACAGGCAACCGTTTCACTGAACTTGTACATTGAAAGTGCATTGCACAACGAGTTTTCTTAAACCGTCCGATGGAATTCTGATATTCATGTAGTCACACACAAAATCTACTCCACAAGGTCGAGTAAATCCTTCTTAGAGAGTACGTTGTCAACTCTCTTCTTACTTACTCAACTATTTTGGTTTGTTACTGTGCTGCGGCGTGATACGGTGAATCACACAATTGCCAAGGTCGACCTTGGCGGACAGCTTCGGTAACCCGTACAATCCAGGAATGTTTGATCACATCGGTCGGGTGAGCAATCAATACTCTATAAGCGTCTTCGAAATCTACTTATCCATAATCGGGGTATTGTATTTCTTCTCCCGAGGTGTGTAAATTTGGTTTTATCAAGAAGTTGAACGTCCATTTTGTCCACATAATCCTCTCGATTCATAATCGCGATGCCCGGACCTTTGTGATTCCGATAGGATGATACCCGGGTTCCTTCTCAGTTCTCGCAATGCATGTTGGATGTAACGAACGGGTTAGTAACGTGGAGGTAAGCCGTCGTGTGTTTGGGAGTCTGTCAGGTATAAACCTGCTAGCATACCGAATTCAGATTACTAGGCTTCGCTGGCTAGGACACGTATTGCCTATGCCCAGCCATCGTGTGCCGCACCGCGC